GCAACTAAAATCATTGCAGCAACTCTGCTGTCTTTTAAACATTTCTCACATTCTAGAGACGATACAATACAACTAAGTTGCGATATTGTTATCGGTTCCTTTTTGTGTACTGGTTTAGCCAATCTCCGCTTACCAGCCTCCAATACATTTCGTACCAGTGTATTGTCTGTGGGACTGCGTAACCCAACAAGAACATGAGCATATCGAATGCTGTAAAAAGCTGTACAGGAGAAATACTTTCACAACTTTGTATTAAAGATAACAAATAAAGTGCGCAGTGCATAGGAGCAATTGGCAATAAAGTCGGCAAACCATGAGAATCTGCCCAATCAGAAAATCTCTTGAATCCCAAGTTGTATGATCTCACTGTAGAGGCAGATCTAGCCTCATTTAATAATATACTCAAACCTTGTACGTTCGGTTTTAAACTTTCTGGGAGGGTAGATATAACATCATGATATACACTGTCTAACACATCTGAAACAGAAGAAAGCATTTCAATAACCGAAATCGATTTTCAACGCTAACATTGAAAATTTTAAATCTGTTTCACCAAATAAACCTCCCCCAATACGACTGGGAACATAAGCTTCTTTGCAAGACGGCAAATAAACAAAGTTTCTTACTTCTTTGAAAAATGTACCTTGTTTGCATAGCAATTGCCAGAAACTTGCCGAGTACCACTGAGGTACAACCAACGTACCCTTTGCTCTGTATTTGTGCATATGGCACAACACACGAGAGACCAGATACACTGGTGGTACTATCCAGTTCACCTCATTACTCCAATCTGAAGTAAAAGTATCCACATTCTCAGAATTAGGGTTCCAGTACCTAGAATCGAAACGGTTTATCTTCTTGTTGTAGTAAGAAGCAAAACGATCTATTGAATGTGGTCCCCATGTTTCATCGAGTACATGAAAAACATAGTCTGCAACTGCCCAGTCATCTCTATCAGTGAGCTTGCTCAGAAAATCTTTGTTCTCGGGGAATCCAGTCTACTTCCAAACGTATACAGGATCTCAAACACAACTGCCAGATAACCAATGCAAGATTTTGTAAATGTGTCTTCATGCTACCCTTTTGAATAATAGCACATACATTGCTATTATCCGTAAACCTCTTGACTGAGTGAGAACCAAGAAAAGACAGAAAACTTGTCAGTACCATAGATACAACCTTCAACTCCCGCCATGTTGAACTTTGATTCATTTCGCTTTCGGACCACTGACCATGTGCCAACCTCCCACCAAACTGAACACAATAGCCACCGTAACCTACACCACTTGCATCGCTATAAACAACCCTGGTAGGGGAACTGTCTGAACACAACGGTCGTGACTTGAAATGTTGAATATTGTCCCGCCAGAACACTAACTGATCCTTACTTTGACCTGATAAAACAATCCAGTCATTCCATGAGTTAGCCGTCAGACAATCTATACTGAGTGACCTCGTCATAAGTTGACTAATTGAACCAACAACTGGTGACATAGCAATAATTTGACCAACTAGTGAAGATACATCACGAACATACACAGACCTAGTGTTGGGGACTAAGAGAGATGTGATGCAAATGGAAAGCTTCTCTAACTTCCTTTCCGGTACAGCTAAAGTAAAATGTAAAGTGTTCACGTGAAATCCTAGCCATTCCAAACTTTGTGAAGGCGTCCATAAAGACTTTTCAACTTTAGGCACAAATCCAGAACTGATGAGGTCATCCTTAACCCCATCTGATACAACAGCACAAGTTGACATAGAATTTTCAACAATAATTCCATCATCAAGAAACATAACGTTCTTGTAACCGAGGTAACGCCACCATTTTACCAATTGTCGGGTTACCTTTGTAAAGACATAGGGCGCAGATGACAAACCAAATGGTAAAACCACAAACTTGTAATACCTCCTGCCCCATGGCCAAACCCATGAAAAGCCGAGAAAAGTTGTATGAGGAGTATGCATTTCAATATGATGGTACGCGGAATGTATATCGTATTTAACTAACCAATCACCAGCTTTGATATACATAAGAGCGGTTTTCCAGTCTTCGTATTTGACTGAAAGTTTAAACACATGCTTGTTCACCACAGACAAATCAAGAATTAATCTTTTCTTTCCAGAAGAAGCAATAGACACCGACAACGGATTAACAACACGAGGCCTCTCCTCACATTCCTCCACTAAATTTTTCCGCACAAGATCTGTAATAGCTTCACAAACAAAATCAGAATGCCGCAACGCCGACATGTTTTTTAATTCCATAGGTGTCGGAGTAGAATAAAATGGTATCTTGTATCCACTTACAATAACATCAATCACAAATTGAGTAGAACCAATGTCACGCCAAAACTGTATGCAGCGTCTTAGACGACCCCTCTTAGACGACTTAGACGACTTTAACTTGTTTACTCTGAGACTGTGGTCTTGCTTCCCGGTCGACTTGTCGGCGTGACTGTGTTAGAGTTGACATACGGACAGTCTCGTCTCCAGTGGCTGAGTTCTCCGCACGCAAAACACGTGCCGTTTCTAAGTCTCGGGCGAAATGGACGTCCTTGAGATGGTCCCGCTGGATAAGCCCCGCCCCCAATTGTAGCCTGCGTGACAGTCGCTGTCGGTCTAGAAAACTTAAATGGGTCATATCTTGACGATTTTGATTTCTTTTTGTCAATTTTCTTGATAGCTCTGTATTCCGCTCTGGAAATACGCCGATCATCGCCAGAATCATCAGCAAGATCATTACAGTCATATTGGCGAACAGTCTCCCAACCTCCATCTGATGAGTCGGCAAGCTTAATCAGCTTATTTCTACGCTCAATGCGCGAAACCTCCGCGCAAAGTAGATCTTGCAAATAGTCCAATTTTGAGTAAGAAATAGCAAATTTCATTTGTTTCATATTTTCAAGGGTCTCTGAATTGACATTATACTGAAGGCGGTGCCCTTCCCGTTTCCATACGAAATCTTTTTCAGTTTTGAGTTTCTGAATATCAGCCGCTGTTCGAGCCACGTTATCTTGTAAATTAACAAGCTTCTCTTATACAGACCTGTCAACTTCTTCTCGACATGTAGATAACTGCTGTAGAATATTATCAAGTTTCTTGTTAATATCTTCAGATAGCTCCATAACAAAATGGCGATAGAACACGTGGCAAAGTTAATAACGAAATAAACAGACCGCACTGTAACGGCGACACCGCAGGAGAGATTGAACTACCCGGGCTTTACAATTCCTATATATATCCCATACGGTTGCGCCCTCTACCGTGAATAACCTCCCTTTATATCTGGCTTTACCTTCAAGAGAAATCAATTTCAGTCTAATTCACTCTGTTCAACCGAATGAAATTTCATTAAATCTGCAATCGACCGAAATTTGCACGGCAGTTTACGAACTGGATATCGATTTCGTTACGCCATTTTGATTGGACTATGCACAGACTCGTTACTCCAGCCAAAATATAACTCCATAATTCCAGCCTCTTTCGGCAAGAGTGGGAACTGTACTTTTATAGTCAGTTAACGGCCTTGCCTCGGGAAGGTGGGAATATGTATAATACCTGAACATTTTAGGGAATATGTAAATTCGCAGGGTGAATCAGATTTTACATATAATCCCTAACATTTCCGGGATAATACATATTCCCTGATTTGACATATTCCTTGTAATATATAAACGTACTAACAGGTGTCACAAAATGTGTTCGGCCTGATTTACTCGTTCTTTCTTGTCGAAAGAGGCGACTGACGGGATCGGGTGGTCAGGCTCGCTGACTTGGTTGATGCATGTCATCGATCCCAATAGCGTGGATCGATGCTCATGATAATAATCACTGGACTGTCTGGTCCAGACTCGATTATTTACAGACCGCTGTCATATAGCTTGAATATTGCTGAATGCGGCGTTAAACAAACCAACTAACAACCAACTACTCGGTCTTTCCTACCACATTACTGATGTTCAGGCCTAATAAATGCAATTCTGTCACAGGATAACAGACAACCACAAGTATATATGTCCCACGTACATGGCATCAACATCAAATTTATGTAACCCGAAAATCACACCTTTATAACAACCATCTTCCCGCGGCAAGGGAATTAACTGACTATTACTGACTCCTATATGACGTACATATAGAATACTAAACGAGCTCCCGTGTAATACCATTTTATGAAACGAGTGAATAGTTGTGGTATCTGACGAGCAAAAGCGAGTCAGATACCACAACTATTCACGAGTTTCATGAAATTGGTTTTACACAGGAGCGAGTTTGGTATTTTATTTATTACTTGCCATTTATAACGTTTTTTTAAATTATACTGTTGAGTATGAATAGGCTGACACCTACACAATCAACGGCATAGTCCAATTGAGTTTAACAGAATAATACTTCAAACACGTCAGAAGTTGAAACGTATGAATTTAATACCATACAACGGCCCACCTTTAGAATTCACAAAATTATCGTAGGGCTAAGGCTATCGCAACTCACATACTTTAACTTAGACTAACAACTGTCGTTGCGCTACAATACGATCGCCTTGTGGAACGGGCCTTGCACCTCAAAGTTTACAATAACGTCACAATACCCGATGACGTAAATTGTGGAATTTTGTTGCAAGATCAGTCGGCGAAACAATTACATGTGACGTAAGCCCAGCAACAAGGTTGCTGGGGTCATCGAGTGTGCATAAGCTCCTCTCAGTGATCTATCAACTCCACACGCAATGTCGTTGAATAAGCCAAGGGATGTTGAGAGCTTTCAATATTTGTTCGTGAAACGTGTTCCGAGAGTACATAAGCACACGTTTTGGTATTACACAATGTGTAATACAGCTGTATGTTTATTAAACGGGTGATCTCTTCACGGGCAAGTAATAAAAACATATATATATAACGTCAAAACCATACCTATCGCAGCGCGTCGTGACAATATTTTGCTAGCGGTTATCTGAAAGAAAGCAGAAGCTTGAGTAACCTCCCTTGCGCCACGTTAGTTCCGTAAACAAAGATGACAGGTGAAAGGGTGAGAACGGCTCATGTTGAGCTCTGTTTTATGCCAAAGTTGCATCATGCTTTGTGGTACTGTGTACTGCTGGTATGTATTCAGTGTGATGTGTGTAATAAACGAACTTACATAGAATACTATCTCCAACAAAGCAACGTTTGCCTCAGAAACTCTTCATCTGTTCGAAGTAACAGCAAAATTATCGACAAGTTAATCTCTTCATTTCAAGCATGGGATTTCGCACCCCGTCAGATTCTTCATGAAACATTTCCCATAGACCCGGAGAAAAGAAATTTTGTAAGACAGGTTAAAAATGTTTTATTTTCTGTGGTCAAGCCAGTTTCATTCAGGACAGAAACAAAACTAGTAGCAATATCAGACGACGCTATGAGGGACATCTTGGATCTGGATCCAGATATTGCTACTGAAACACAGTTTAGAGATTTTGTCAGCGGGGCGTATCTCCACCCAGGTGCCACGCCCCTTTCCCACAGATACGGGGGCCACCAGTTCGGGAACTGGGCGGACCAGCTCGGTGACGGTCGGGCAGTGATGCTGGGCGAGTATGTCAACAGGGGTGGGGAGAGGTGGGAACTGCAGCTGAAGGGGTCAGGCCTCACCCCCTACTCACGGCGTGGGGACGGACGGGCAGTGCTCAGGTCTTCCGTAAGGGAGTTCCTGTGTAGTGAGGCAATGCATTATCTAGGTGGGTATATGTAGACTCTCTCTCTCTCTCTCTCTCTCTCTCTCTCTCTCTCTCTCTCTCTCTCTCTCTCTCTCTCTCTCTCTCTCAAAATTGAATATTGCTAAAAGCGGCGTAAAACCATACTCACTCATTCACTCTGCTTCATTCTGTCTCATGTGTCTCACTCGTCCTCACCCTCTCTCTCTCTCTCTCTCTTCATAGACTTCTTATTGAATCTCTAACAATATATTTTCTCATATAGGATGGTCCACTATAATATCGTGGTAGTTAATTTATAATAGATCGTAATGGCGCACTAATACTATCCTATTACATATATGTCACACGCACAATGTTTCTTTTTTCTTTGTTCAACTTTTATGACACATGAATTAGGATCGATCTATTCTGGTTTTCTTTACCATGTTCGGTAAACAATGTACAAATATTAGCGACTCAAGGGCGGGCAACTCCACATTATCGCGGTATGGCTATTGTGTGGTGTGATACGTGTGCATCATGTGGTTTCAATTGCTTCCTGTTTTGGATTATGCATATCAGTATACATACGACCTAGGTTGGGTCAATTTAAGGGACTTCGTCTTAACAAATTGGTTCTTTTCTAACCAATTTCGAATGGGGGTAGGGGCAATTCCATTTTAGAAACCATCAAAAAAGGTTAACGTGTATACTTACGAGTAACTGTGACATACCGCAACGAGTCCTGTATTCGATCAAGCAGAGATCATATAATAGAACTATTATATGGTCTCTGGATCAAGCGATGAAATTGGTTCCTAGATTTGCATAAGTGAACAGTCGACAGGGTTTGCCGATAATATAGAGCCTACTATATGTTGTAGGTATCCCCACAAGCCGTGCTGTGGCGCTCGTAGTAAGCGACGATCCCGTCACACGAGACCAGTTTTATGACGGTCACCCCCAGACAGAGAGGGGTGCTATTGTGCTTCGCGTGGCTCGAACCTGGTTTCGCTTCGGCTCTCTCGAACTGCTAGCACACAAAGGAGAAACGGATCTACTGGAACAGTTAGCTGACTTCGTCATACGGAGTTACTTCCCTTCTGTTGATAGTGCTGGTGGAGACAAATACCTTGCATTTTATAGTGAAGTTGTCACCGCTACAGCTGATATGATCGCAAAATGGCAAAGTGTTGGATTTGCTCATGGTGTTTGTAATACAGATAATTTCAGCCTTTTATCAATTACGATCGATTATGGACCGTTTGGGTTTCTGGATGAATACAATCCCAAATTTATACCCAACACCTCAGATGACGAAGGGATGTACAGTTTCGAAAGGCAACCAGATGTCGGAATGTTTAATTTAAATAAATTAAGAGAAGCTCTGCAACCGTTATTAAGTGATAAACAAAAGGCTGATATGCTTGTTGTTTACAATGGGTATGCAGATGTATACAAAAATAAATTCATGGAGATTTTCCGCAAGAAACTCGGGTTGATAAGTTTCGATATTGATGACGAACAGCTGGTTGCGGTACTGTTGAAAATGATGGAGGATACGAAATCGGATTTCACCATGACATTTAGACAGCTCGGAGAAATATCTCTATTTGATTTGGAAAATAGTAATATTGATGGCAAATACTGGGCTTTGAGAACATTACAAAAACACGACTGGTTCTCGAGATGGGTTCAGATCTATGCTGAAAGAACAAAGACGACAAATATTTCTGAAATTAAAAGACAAACCCTAATGAACAGCAATAATCCGAGGTATGTTTTACGAAACTGGATGGCCCAGAATGCAATATCTCTTGCAGATAAAAACAGTTTTGAGGAGGTACAGAAAGTGTTGCGCGTTCTCAGGAATCCATTCACATTGCAACAGGAGGCCGAGCAGAGCGGCTTTGCTGACCTGCCGCCATATTGGGCCAGCTCGCTAAAAGTCAGCTGCTCGTCTTGAATGTGAAATTATAACATAAAATATATTTTTGTTGTTGTTTTCAAATCACGTGCATTTGTTGTTGTTGAAACCGAATTTTGAGATATCGGGAGAAGGGCTGGTAGGTAAAAAGTAGTTAAAGCGTTCGCTTGTCTCACTGATGATCTAGGTTGGATACCTAACACGAGGACAATGTTAATATGATTGTAACCCCTGACGTGATGTGGCTAGAACAATGCCATAAGCGGCGTAAAACTCGCTCATTAAAGTATCGAGATTTGTTCCGCCGGTGGTGATTCCGTGTTAGAGTTGGTCCCCAACAACCCCTGCTTGTCGTAAGTTGGGACTTAATGTTTGTGTGTTGTTTAACGCCACACTCAGCAATATTACAGCTATATGACGGCGATCTGTAAATAATCGAGTCTGGACCAGACAATCCAGTGATTGATATCATGAGCATTGATCCACGCAATTGGGATCGATGACATGCTTCAACCAGGTCAGCTAGCCTGACCACCCGATCCCGTTAGTTGCCTCTAACGACAAGCATAGTGGCCTTTTACGGCAAGCACGGGCTGCTGAAGACCTATTTTACCCCGGATCTTCTGTCACGGTGATATTGCTGATTACACACAGTGTAGGGCGCCGTGGCATAGATGTGATATTGCTGATTACACAGTGAAGGGCGGCGTGACAGATGTGATATTGCTGATTACACGCAGTGTAGGGCGCCGTGACACAGATGTGATATTGCTGATTACACACAGTGTAGGGCGCCGTGGCATAGATGTGATATTGCTGATTACACAGTGAAGGGCGGCGTGACAGATGTGATATTGCTGATTACACACAGTGTAGGGCGCCGTGACACAGATGTGATATTGCTGATTACACACAGTGTAGGGCGCCGTGACACAGATGTGATATTGCTGATTACACACAGTGTAGGGCGCCGTGACATACGTGTGATATTGTTGATTACACACAGTGTAGGGCGCCGTGACACAGATGTGATATTCCTGATTACACACAGTGTGGGGCGCCGTGACATAGATGTGATATTGCTGATTACACACAGTGTAGGGGGCCGTGACATAGATGTGATATTGCTGATTACACACAGTCTAGGGCGCCGTGACATAGATGTGATATTGCTGATTACACACAGTGTAGGGCGCCGTGACATAGATGTGATATTGCTGATTACACACTGTGTAAGGCGCCGTGACATACGTGTGATATTGCTGATTACACACAGTCTAGGGCGCCGTGACATAGATGTGATATTGCTGATTACACACAGTGTAGGGGGCCGTGACATAGATGTGATATTGCTGATGACACACAGTGTAAGGCGCCGTGACATACGTGTGATATTGCTGATTACACACAGTGTAGGGCGCCGTGACATAGATGTGATATTGCTGATTACACACAGTCTAGGGGGCCGTGACATAGATGTGATATTGCTGATTACACACAGTGTGGGGCACAGTGACATACGTGTGATATTGCTGATTACACACAGTGTAGGGCGCCGTGACATAGATGTGATATTGCTGATTACACACAGTGTGGGGCACCGTGACATACGTGTTATTTTGCTGATTGCACACAGTGTAGGGCGCCGTGACAAAGATGTGATATTGCTGATTACACACAGTGTAGGGCGCCGTGACATAGATGTGATATTGCTGATTACACACAGTGTAGGGCGCCGTGACATAGATATGATATTGGTGATTACACACAGTGTAGGGCGCCGTGACATAGATGTGATATTGCTGATTACACACAGTGTAGGGCGCCGTGACATAGATATGATATTGGTGATTACACACAGTGTAGGGCGCCGTGACATAGATGTGATATTGCTGATTACACACAGTGTAGGGTGCCGTGACATAAATGTGATATTGCTGATTACACACAGTGTAGGGTGCCGTGACAGATGAGATAATGCTAATTTCACAAGGTGTAGGGCGCCGTGACAGATGTGATATTGCTGATTACACACAGTTTAGGGCGCCGGGACAGATGTGATATTGCTGATTACACACAGTGTAAGGCGCCGTAACAGATGTGATATTGCCGATTGCAATCTGACGACAATTTGCTTCAAGCCAGCACAAGACTTCAAGTATTGTAAGATTGGATTTTCGTCAGTTCCAACACGCGACTTTCAGTCATATATTTCATTTGTCTCATATACATGTACATGTATTCTACATATTTCGACAAGATACACGTCTATATATGCGGTATTATGCCCGATAACTCTGCCACTCTGCAGAAATATACACTATATGATGGCGCTCTGGCCACCTTTAAAATCTCAGTGCAATAAATAAACTGTGAGTATGTTTTTTTATGGAAACGTGATACGGTTTATCCCCGAGGGTCGAGACGTGTTTCACTCTTCCAGCGCTGTGACATTTCAATAATGCCAGAAACAGGTCTGACTTTGTGTACACTCGTCTCAAGTTGAACAGTATTATATGGATAAATTCTCCATCACCGTGGGGACTTAAAGGTCACCCCGTGTCGCTTGATTGTAAACTATTTCTGTACAAAGCGATGTATTTAAGATCGCTGGCTTTACCATTTTATGTTGGAGCGCAGTCGTTTGCTTGCTGTAAGGTTCTAATTTCTCCGATACTTTAGCAGGAATGTGCCTTTTATCGCTCCCGCTGTTTCACCGTCTGTGAGAATGAACCAGCTGACTTACAAATTATGGACTTCATCACTAAATGTTATCTGTTCGCTGATTGGTCAGTTTACCTTTACGGGCGATCAGTGAAGTTAGTGCCCGTTCTGAGAAAGGGAAACCGATAGTTTGGGAAACACTTCAATATATTTATGTTGCTTAACGCAACTCTTCTTTCGTGGTCCCATAAAGTATCTCAGACAGAAAATAATTAAAGAAATGGGTTCTCATCTCATGTAATACATTGCTAAGTTTTCAGAGCCATGGCAATCTTACAGCAAATTTCATCCATAGTTAAGTTGGGAACGGTATGCGGCCATTTTGATCAAGTCAGCTATATCTGTAGCTTCTAAAATATCAAACAAAATTTTAAGATTAGTGCAAACATATTAAGTAAAATGTATTAGGCAATATTCTTGGGAGTCTTCACGTTGCATTATTGAACAAAGTGTTTGTGAGTATTTTTCAGTGAGTGAGTGAGTTGGGTTTTACGCCGCTTTTAACAGTATTCCAGGTACATCACGGCGTGTCAGCTTAATGTGGGAGGAAAGCCCGAAGTGATGCAGGTCTCAGACGTTTACCGCTTCGACGAAACCCACGAACACGGGTATGGTGCTGACAAACCTAGAAACATAATCGGGGCGAACCGGGATTCGAACCCACAATCATAGGTTTCTTGGGTGCCCAAGGGACGCAACTCTGCACAGCGAATCGCGGCGCCTTAGACGACTGGGCCACCCGTGCCCCCGAGTATTTTTCAGAACACAGACGTAAAGCTATTTAACAGCTCGGGAGCTTGCAAACAGAGTGTGGTTCCTTTGAAAGGCATTTATAAGTGATACACATAGCGAAGACAATTAATGGATGTAAGCTTCTTTATTATGAGGAACACAACGTTTCGGAGTATTTGCTAACTCCATCATCGGATGGGTGTCGTTCCATTCCGGCTTTTCGTGTGTATTGGTAAAGAAAAAAAATTGAAAACGTGTAAGGACACAGGGCGGTGGGGTAGCCTTGTGGTTAAAGCGTTTGCACGTCACGCCGAAAGCCCGTGTTCGATTCCCCCACCTGGATACGAGGGCTAGTCAAAAAGTTCTCAGCCTGACTAACTTTCAGCTATGGGCCATAACAAAGTGAACTAGTCAATGTAGTACATTGATTTTGTATTTGGTCTGTTGATGCTGTTTGTAGATCAGTGACAGCCAGTTGAACCTGATAGGGGTCCAAAGGGACACAGAAATAGAAAAGAACGAGTACCGAGCAGTTATCAAGTTTTTGACTTTAGAGAAAAGTACTCCCAAGAAATTCATGACTTCATGTCACAAGCATATGGGGAAAAGTGCCCTAGCTGGTCCACTGTTAAACGTTGGGCAGCTACAGTAAACTACGGTTATAGCGAACACGCTTATAACGAACTGACGGATATAACGAACTAAAATTAGTAATCCCTTTGAGTTCGTTATAACCGTACTTTACTGTTTAAACTGGGAGAACAAGCCCTGAAAAACCCTAGGTCTTGGCGTCCTTCAACTTCCATCAATGAAGATTCAATCAAGGAGATAGGAACAACGTATTACCATTGCATAACTTGAGGAAGACACAGGTCTAAGCCATAGATCAATTGAAACTCTTTTTCATGAACATTTACAGATGAATATATAAAGATATCTGCTCGTTGGGGGTCACAGTTTCTAAATTCAGATATTGAGGAAAAGAGAACTGACATTGCCAGATAAAGTTTAGAGCTAATTGAGGAGGATTTCTTCAAAATAAAAAAGAGATTAGTAACGGGTGCAAAGCAGGGAGATTATGTTAAAAACAACTTTCACAATTGTTGGTTTTGTTTGTTAGGCTTAGAACGTTTTGACCAGCCCTCGTACAGTGTGTGAACCCGAGATGGTGTCGCCCGCCGTAATATTGCTGGAATGTTGCTGAAAGCGGCATAAAACCATATTCACTCAGTATAAGGCCACAGCAAATTATTCATTACCTAATCCTCCGCAACATCCATTATTATTATACTGCCGACAAAAAATAAGGGAACTGATGAAATGATGGGGAAGGCGTAATAGCGATAAAAGTCTAAAATTAATTTCGGGCGTGAAGATCATTATCTGGTGTGTCCATGACACTTTAAAGGCATACTGTTGATTAACTCGCTTATGGTTACCTTTTGTATTGCCTGCCGATCCACCTGAAGAGTTGATTAACTCGCTTATGGTTTCCCCTCGTATTGCCTGCCGATCCACCTGAAGAGTTGATTAACTCGCTTATGGTTTCCCCTTGTATTGCCTGCCGATCCACCTGAAGAGCAGAAGTGGGCCCAGTTAATTGGTGATGGGTCTCTGGCAAACACTCTCTGCCCGAGAACATGCCAAAGATTCGGTGACGAACTGGGCACCACGTGTTCTGGCATTGTCATCTTGCAGTTAAAACATTCTGCCGATAATTCCAGCGAATAAAACAACGACATGACGCACAATTTCGTCAACATATCGCTGACCATTCAATGTCCATTCACAAGAACCAAATCAATTCGCCTGTCATGTGTGATACCTCCAACACCATGACCCTGTCACCCTCATACCGATCATGGACAAGAATTGTTAAGGTGCCCAGGCATACCGCTCGCCGCTACGTCGCCCACAACGTTTTCTGCCATCTTTGAATTGGAGGGAATCCTAGAATGGCCTGTAAACATGGCGTACTGACCTTGGCGCACAGCCTTTCCCTGGTGTTGTCTAGCCCACCCCAATCTTTACCCCTTCACAGGACGCCTTGCTTTCAGGCGGGCTGCATAGAGACAGTTTTTAACGGTAGATTCGCCTTACTGTTATTGTCGGATTTCTTAATTAATACCAGGGGCTGATTTGAATCTATTGGTTAGTGTAGTTAATATAATGAGACGATCTTGTCTTGCTGTCTTTTTTTAGCGCTGCCACCCACTGGACCCGTTTGTACTTGTCCCCAGTCCAGAAGTGACACTTTTTGATTTGCCAAACATTCGGCCATCTTGGGTTATTGACGTCCCTTCTATCCTACAAGTGTCATTTAATTACTGTCTTCAAGCGTGGGCTTGGCTCAATTGCATTAGTGCTTGTAAGGATCCGTGAAGATCCGGGTTAGAATAGGTCTTCAGCAACCCATGCCTGTCGTATGAGGCAGCTATGTCTGTCGAAAGAGGCGACTAACGGCTTCGCTTGGTTGACGCATGTCCTCGTGTCCCAATTGCAGAGATCGATGCTCATGATATAAATCACTGTATTGTCCGGCCGAGATACAATAATTTGCAGACCGCCGTCATATATAGCTGGAATATTGCCGAATGCGGCGTTCAACGAAAAACTAACAAACATGTTTACACCCTACCTCGATCTATTATTTACAGAAATAACAAACAAACAATTATAATCAGTTACTGCAGCGGTGACCGAGTGTACAGTCGATACCATGGTTACTATATCGTTGACAACCAGCTATAGTTCCCGTGTTCAAATGTTCCTAATAAGTAAAATAACACAAACACGTATGGTAAAAAAATACAAAATATTTTTTATTGACATGATAAATTAACTTTTTCGTAGTTTATAATAGTTTTGTATTTCGTCAGTTACATTCTGTATATAATTCCTAATTGTCGATCGCATGAAAGACGTGTAGGGTACTTGTGGAGACACTTGAACCTTGGGTCGCTTGAAGTTGCCGTGCGCGTTGGCTATCATACACACGAGCTCCGGGTCAGTGACGCGCATGCCCAGGAAGTTGAACAGCCTTCTGGTTTCGTTGAGCATGTTAGTTTGGAGGTCTCGGTATTGCATAATGAGGAGAGATCCGTCGAATTTCAGCCAGTCGGTGTTCATGTCCACCCAGCCACGTGCTTGAAGAGAGACGTATGTTTGCCAGCCTGTAAACCAATATGAAGAATTATCATGTGTGCATGTAGCAGTAGAAGTAGTAGTTGAAGCGATACCGGCACCACTAGAAGTAGAAGACACAGTAGCAGTAGCAGTAGCAGCAGTAGAAGTAGTAGTAGCGGTAGCCGCAGTAGTAGTAGAAGCGGTAGTAGAAGTTGTAGTCGCAGTAGTAGCAGTAGTAGAAATCGTACCAGTTACAGTAACAACACCACTAGAAGTAGTAGCCGCAGTAGTAGTAGTAGAAGTAGTAGTAGTAGTAGTAGTAGTAGCGGTAGTAGAAGTTGTAGTCGCAGTAGTAGCAGTAGTAGTAATCGTACCAGTTACAGTAACAACACCACTAGAAGTAGTAGTAGTAGTAGTAGTGGTAGTAGTAGTAGTAGTAGTTATGGCTGTGGTTGTGGTAGTGGTATTGGTATAAATATAGTCACAGCAAAAGAAGTAGTAGCAGAAGTGGTAGTGGTAGTGGTAGCGGCAGTAGTTATGGCTGTGGTTGTGGTAGTGGTATTGGTATTGGTAGCGGCAGTAGTAATGGTTGTGGTTGTGGTAGTGGTAGCGGAAGTAGTAATGGCTGTGGTTGTGGTAGTGGTAGCGGCAGTAGTAATGGTTGTGGTTGTGGTAGTGGTAGCGGCAGTAGTAATAGTTGTGATTGTTGTAGTGGTAGTATAAATATAGTACAGCATTAGTAGCAATCGTACTAACACCACTAGAATTAGTAGTCCACTGTCGTAGTAGTAGATGTAGTATTAGAATAAATATGACACCAGTAACAGTAGTATGAGTAGTAGTAGCAGTAGCAGCAGCAGTAGAAATAGTAGTAACAGTAGCACCAATGCAAAACATAGAAGTATTTCTAGATCTGGGTGCCGTTGTACAAAACAGTCAGCGCAACGATGATCGTAAGCCTATGTTAAAGTATGGGAGTAACGATCACCTTAGCGCTAAGGTGGCTTTGTACAACGGCATCGAGGTCATTGCCATGGCTACCTGTATCTCGTTAAACCTGAAAAGAAAGGTAACCTTTTTAAAACAGAAACAAAAGGCACAGTGTGCATGAAACACGCGACAAAATATATGTTTTTAGTTTAGTTGTAGAAGATTTAAGTACCGTGAGTAACACCGGCAGAGGTGGTGCTGGTTAGCAGAGGTGGTGGCAGTATTCCGACGACAGAATTTAAGAATGACACTATACCAAAAAAAGGTTATCACGCTTAAGTGTTTGAGGATAGTAAATATCCTGAATTAGGAGTACACACTATGTTTTTCCTAATACAAGATATTTACCCCCCAAACGAACCGAAGAGAAAGAAAAGGAGTTGGATTTGGCCGAAATATTTCCGAATTATAACCTTGTTTCATTCTGTCGCTGTGGGTACATCCGACACAATAACGTAATGAAAGGACAGGCAGACTATAAACAAACGTTACGTCAGATATCTCATAGACTATAGGGTTAGAGTAGTGGGAATGAGGCACGTTATTCCCCGTTAAGTAAACAACAAGTCAAACATATCATGTCGGACATTTTAATTAAACAGAAACAGAAGACAGAAACACAAACCTTCATTGCCACACTAACCAAATCGCCCCAAAATCAAATGTGTCTATATATTCATCTAAAGTGAATAATTGACCACTTTCTGTTATAAAGTGGATAATGGAAGTTAATTCTAATATTAGCAAAGGCAATCTCCTGACCTGAGCTCTAAGGACGTCTTCGTCCCACAACGAATAAATATCAACTTCCACATGTTACCCCGTTCAACGTAGTGGTCCGTCACATCAGCATGACACGCACGAGATTTTCCCAATAAAAGAACATGCGCAACGGGCGTGTTTGGGCGAGCACTTACATATTAATCGAGTGTATTTGGACGAGCTATACCAACCCAACCAAGAACAACTGTTTCCTTCTGTTCAAGTAGCTTCCCTTTGATAAAGGACAGTTCCGTACTTGAGCGGGCGGACCGCAGTTACGCCACTGTTAAACAAACAGGTTTGAGTTGGAACTATATTGACTGTTGTCACGGTCCGACTGACAAACCACTGACCTTCTCTCGTAATATACATGTATGCGCACATTCGAGGAAAATTTGCAATGTTTAGGTAATGTGTGTGAGAGATGAGAACATATTTTCGACGAACGACAATACATGATAAATATGTTATCACGCATGAGTATTCTGGGATGGTAAATATCCTGCATTAGGACAAAACACTGTGTATTTACCATCTCAAAGCACATTGGCGTGATATCCCCTATATCTTCGTCAAATTAGCGAATATCAAAGGAAATAATTAGAAGATAAACAGACACACACATAATATTTATCGATATTGTAAACCTATTGTTTTATTTTAAAACAAACAAACATGCGCACTCTTTAACACCTCGTACTTACTCGGTTGTGAGGCGTCAACACCGAACGTTCTGTTGTTGCTATGGTGATTGTGATTTTGGTAATTATTTCATTATAATTATTTTTAATTAAAAATTAAAAATCCAATAATTCCCATGAATAGAGAAAATCAAAATATTTGTTATGAATGTTAATAATAAATTATTGATTTCGCTCAAACCGAATAGAAAAAAAAAGAATTTTTTATGGATTTGAATTTAACCAAAGTTAAATACCACAAGGACGGGGTCTTCACACACGTCAATCACTATGTGTACCCGTGACGGGATTTAAATCAGTGGAAGAACAAAATCGCGAATACAAAGATATTCCTCACTAACAAAATCTTCCAAATCCTTAATTACCATCTCTTTACCTGTCGAAAATACCATTAGCGTCTTCGTCATTACGTTATAGGGCGACACCCTACTTTGTTACTGCCAGATAATTTGACGCAAAACAGTCTGACGTGGCATGTGTCTACCAAAAACATGGCGGAATCAACGGCTATGGATATGGTCAGGAATAGCCCAGTAGCCTCCTCCACCAGAACGCTGAGACTAGAAAAGGGAATATCTGGCCCTGTCAGTGTGTTGACGTTGTCATGTGTTCAGGATGGGGAGGTGGGGTGAAATGGGGTTTAACGTCGCGTTCGACATTATTGCATTAATAGCGAGATGCGTGCGTGCGTGCGTGCGTGTGTGTGGAGCTCCGAACCGACCATTCCCTGTTTTATACCCTTTATGACTGGGTAACAGGTACCATTTTTCAACTTCTTTTGGACCTCCCGCTCTCTGTGTAGACGCTCTATCAACTACAGAGGAGGTCAGATGTGCACAGACCTCCATAAGCACCTTATTAGGGATAAATTGGGAAACCGGTCCGTCACTTCAAATTTAATTTCGAGGGGCCTTAAGTGATTGTACAAGATTTCTATTGAAATAAGGATAGATATAACTTGAGTGGGCTACTGTCTGCCTAAACGAGTAGACAGGCGGTGGCCGATTTCATTCATTCATTCATTCATTCATTCATTCATTTTGGAAGAAAATAAATGGTTCACTAGGCATGCTGTCAATGTGTCATATGTCCAAAAAATATGTCACCCCAACTTAAAATATTAAATAGTCGGTCCTGAACACATAAGACTTGACCGATTGGCAGCCAAGTGATTATAATGACACCAAATCCTCAGGTTCGAAGGGCGGTCGGGTAGCCTAGTGGTTAAAGCGTTCGCTCGTCACGCCGAAGACCCGGGTTCGAATCCCGACATGGGTACAATGGGCCAATTTCTGGTGTCCCCCGCCGTGAAATTGCTGGAATATTGCTAAAACGGCGTTAAACAATACTCACTCACTCACTCAGGTTCGAATTTCGACACGGGTAAACCCACCGGATGTTAATGGACTATTGCTGAATCAGCTGAACTCAATAGCCGCCCTTTACGTACCTTTGGTAAAATCATGTGGAAGCGCATGACCCCTGTGACCTCCATTACGCCGGTTGAACTCCGCCATGAGGGAGTCGAAGGGGTCACGAATGAGGAGTACCGCACGAGAGAACGCGTGGCGATGTTCGCTCCCCCACTCGTGGGTCTTCACCATCACCACTCTGCCGTCTCTCACCCCCTCCCCGGGGAAGCCGTGCTGCTTCAGTATGACGTCATTGTACACGCTGCCAGTTGCGATACCTGCAAGGTGAAGGTCAACACGGTTATAACGTTCAATACAATAATATGTATATATATATTTATTTTTAAGACAGCACGTAACATACGCAAAACCTAACCATACGTAAAACCTTCTTAATTGTATAACGACAAACTTGTCACTACTGGCTGCACTTATATGTATATAATTATAACTGGCTTCTTGCATTTGTGTGCGTATGTGCGCGTGCGTGCGTGCATGCGTGCGTGCGTGCGTGCGTGCGTGCGTGCGTGTGATGTTACATTCTTCCGATGAAGTTATCGATGCAAAACCCATGCTTGCCGTAAAAAGGTGACTATGCTTGTCCTAAGAGACGACTAACGGGATCGGGTGGTCAGATCAGACTCGCTGACTTGGCTGATGCATGTCATCGTATCCAAATTGCGTGGATTGATGCTCATGATGTCAATCATTGGATTTTCTGGTCCAGGCTCGATTATTTACAGACCGCTGTCATATAGCTGGAATATTGCTGAGTGCAGCGTTAAACAAACAAACATGTTTACATCCTAACTGCCTGCAAAGACTCCCATTACGTTACGTTGTGTTATATCAATACTGATATCATATTTTCTACGTTTGCATAATTAACTCTTTACGACTACAGGGGTGATATTTTGCTGAAGCCAAAACTGGCAAAACAAATAAACTACATAAGTACGGATAAGAATTATTGATGAACAACTTCTAACACCGTTATCAAGCAAGTAATAAAGAAGTTGTTCATCCATATATCTTATCCTTACTTAGTACTTCTAAATGCCCCTAAAAAATGAAAATAAACTGCAGTCTGCATTCGATATGTATTTTCTAGTCATGACATAGTTACTGTTTTGCAGTGAGTGAGTGCGTGAGTGAGTAAATGACCAAGAATCAAACGGCGAATCTGGAATTCGAACCCACGACCATAAGATCCTGTCAAGGCAAAGGGACGCAACCCTGTACAGCAAATTACGGCCCATAAGACATCTGGGACGCCCGTGACCCTTATCCAAATGACTCAACAGGACAATTTGGTCTCCCTTTAAGTTCTAGGAATTTCTTTCAAAACTCTAATATATCTAATTGTTGAAACAAAAATAGAAATAAAACTGCGAAAGCATATTTAAATAAACGACCAATAGAGAATCTCACCCTCGTATCTTTTTATATCAAGACGAGTCCATAAATGTTCAAAACATTTATTGACGAGTGTTGATATATTTGAGGTCAAATATCAAAATACATAAGGGTGAGATTCTATTTGGGTGGCCCAGTCGTCTAAGGCGCCACGATTCGCTGTGCAGAGTTGCGTCCCTTGGGCACGCCAGAAACCTATGATTGTTGGCTCGAATCCCGGTTCGCCCCGATTATGTTTCGAGGTTTGTCAGCACCATACCCGTGCTCGTGGGTTTCACCGAAGTCGTAAACGTCTTAGACCTGCATCACTTCGGGCTTTCCTCCCACATTAAGCTGACACGCCGTGATATAACTGGAATAATGTTAAAAGCGGCGTTAAACCCAGCTCACTCACTCCAGCTTTTTTCAGTGTGTGAACAGTAATAACCAGGGCGCCGTTCCACAAAGCGGTCGTAGCTCTGAGACGGTCTTAACTCCTTTACTTTAACATAGACTTACGACTGTCATAGCACTATGATAGGTTTGTGGAACAGGGCCAAGTATCTTGAATGTTAAAAGTACAGTTAAACAGCTCCAGTGGTAGAGCGATTAGAGATGTCATTTGATAGTGACGTCATGGTTACCAATGATGTCACAATAGTCTGCAAAGAATTGTGATGCAATTTCAATTAGGGATATCCCCAGGACACATCGCTAGCTTGGGATGATAGAGAAAATGATGTCACAATGGTCTGCAAAGACATGTGACGCTATTTCGATTAATATAAGGTGAGGTGAGGTGAAATGGGGTTTAACGTCGCGTCCAAGATTACTGCACTTATATAGCGACGTGCATGTACGTGTGTGTGTTTGTACTAGTTCG